ACTGGGTGAAATATCGGTACCAAAACTGGTCTCATTGGATGCAACTGAGCTAGGCGCCGAGAAGCTGGCTACCGAAATGGAGATACCGATTGCATCGAGGCGTTCGACAGCCGCGAAAAAGGCCACAGCCTCTTCTTCGCTGAATGGTGGTGGTGGTGATGTGAAGACAACAAATACAGGAGTTGATGAGCATAGTAGCGAAACGGGAAAGGTTGATGGAGATTCGAAAGAGGCCGATGCCACAACAACGTCTCTCCACGATGAGAATGATATGGTTGATGAGGGCGAGGCGGTGAATCCGTTCCCAGAAAAATCACCACCAGCAGCATCAGCTGCGGATGGGGCAAAATCGTCAGGGTCAGGCATGAAGCCGGTGGTGAAAGCCGAAAGTGAAGTGGACAAAATATTGGGTATGGCACCGATGAACACGACGGCACAACATCGTTTCCATTTGTTCGATATGAACTGTGATATTTGCACGGGTAAACGAGACCGTGAATTGGCGCAGCGAAAGCAAAAACGTGAGAAGCGTGATAGGCGAGCTTCTAGAAGTGGAAACACTGTTGTTGGTGGTGGTGGAGCTGATCTGACAGCTACAAGTCCATCGAAGACACCATCTGCAATGCAGTTGTTGACAACGGTNAGCTGATCTGACAGCTACAAGTCCATCGAAGACACCATCTGCAATGCAGTTGTTGACAACGGTGCCAGTAGCGAAGACACCACAGAAGCCAGCGGATAAGTCTGAAGAAATATCGGTGAAACGAGTGGATACTGATGTGGGTAGCAGTAACAAGAGTAAGACGACGAGTGTGCGAAGTTTGACGGAAAGCGATTCGTGGCGCGATTCTGGCGACGTGGAGCCGAAAAAAGGCTCCCCAAGAGCGTCAAGTACTGACGCAGATGATGGTTGGATGGGCCCGGAGGATGATTATGATATTGTTGATGAGATCAATGATACGGACGATTTGGATGGTGGCGGTGTTAGTATGGGTAATGATGAGTCTGTGGATGAACGTGGTAGAACATTGACGATAGGCGGAAGAAATTCAGCAAGTGCAAGTGGAGCGGGCTTCGATATGGATGAAGACGATGAGAAACCACTGGGTTGGAAGCAGTCAAGTCGCGCTCGAGGCGCTGAGCTGACTATGAGACGCAGTCGTCGTGGTGATGGTGCTGATTCTCCAAATGGACCGATGTCAGAGTCGTGGCGTAGTCTGAATTTTGCCACAAGAAAAGAAGACGTCGAAAAGAAGCGAAAGAAGGATATAATCGCAAGCGATGAGGTTGGGCGAACTAGCAGCAGGTTGAATGCAGGTTTAATAGGTGAGAGTTGGCGACATTCGTGTTTAGCACAACAACAGAATGCGACTTCGAGTGTCTCTTATGAATCGTGGCGGGGAACCACCAGCACTGTGGAATCTCACTTGAATCTGATCAGGACTAAGGATGATGAAAAGCGAACCGCGCATAATATAAGACCCTTATTGGAACCGTTCTTGAGCAGAAGATCGCTGCTCGATGCTGATAACGATAGCAGTAATAATAATAGTACTGATAGCGGCAGTTCTGGTAAAGGGTATGATAAGAATATGGGTAAAGGGCAAAGAGTGTCAAGCAACGCGGAGCGATGGAAGAAGACTAAGCAACGAATGGAGAAGTCACCAAACAAGAAGAAAAACGTTATGGAACCAGTTGATGAACAATTTGATGCACCCTCAATTTGGGATCTGTATGTTTTTCTTCTGAATTATTTGATATTGTCGGTTTTCTTCATTTGTTACTTTCTCTTAAAAATGTGCTATTTTAAGTTTTTTGACTGCTTGCGTGTGTTTCGGTTTTGGTTGATTTTGCTTTTAGATGGTTTG